CCCGTTTTCGATTGTGCGTGCACCGTCCGTGCTGCCTTGCATACCCCGTTCTCCCTCCCCACGCACCCCACGCACCCCACCGCTCCCCCCCCCCCCCCCTCCCCCATACCCACCACTCCTGCACACTCCACACTCCCTCCACTCATGGCTGATTCGGCTCCTTCAGCATCGCCCTACCGCATTGGGGCGGCGCTGGGTGCCACTCTGGCCACACACCCGCAGTCACCAGAGCCGTTGTCCCTCGCCGCCACTTCGCCTGTCCCGCCGGCTGTGTCGCCCGTTACGGCCTCGCTCCCCGCCCAGGTACTGGGCTCGGCTATGGCTGCCTCCCGCGGTCAGGGAAGTGTGACTGCGGGTGCGTTTTCTGCTATGGCTTCGGCTATCGAGCTCGATCGCAAGGAGCAGACCATCGCTGCCCTGAGAGCCCAGGTCGCCAAGTTGGAGGCCTACCAGGATCGGGCCGAGCACCTGCAGCGGCGGATGGAGTCGGTCGAGGCTGCAGCCCGCCAACGCGAGACAACCACTCTGGCTCGGAATGCAGAGCTTGTGGCCAAGATCCGCCACTACGAGGAGAACGAGGCCCGGATTGAAGGCCAGCTCGCCTTCCTGGAGGAGGCCCGTATTCGCGAGACACAGCGGTACCGCGCAGAGCTGGATCGCCTCCAGGCTGGGCTGGACGACGCAAGATCGATTGCGGCGGCAGCCAAGGCTCGCGTGCCAGCCGATGAGGCCAAGATCCACGAGCTCAACACCCTGCTGGACCGCGCCAAGGAGCGTGAGGACGCCCACCTCCGCCACACCTCCAAGCTCCAGGACGAGGTTGCCCAGCTCCGCAAGACGCTTCGCGACCATGACAGTGATCTCGTTGCGCGTGCACGCGAGCTCCGCGACGAGCGTGATGCCCACGAGCGGACACGCAAGGCGCTGGCAACGGCCGAAGATGGGCTTGCCCGCTCGCAGTCGACCCACCAGCAGCTGGCCGCCGAACTCGGCGAGGCCAACGGCCGCATCGACTCGCTCACTCAGCAGCGCGATGCAGCCGCGGCTGCTGCAGCTGTCGTTCCCGAGCTCCGGGAAGCTGCCGCCCGTATTCCGGTTCTTCTTGCCGACGTCGCTGCCGCCACCGCCCGCGCCGACGAAGCTCGCGCCGAGGCTGAGGCTCTCGAGGCACGGCTTGCCGCCACCAACTCGGAGCTGCATGCTGCCCGCGACACCGCCGCTGCAGCACAGCACGAACTAGACACGTTCCAGAGCCGCTACGTCCGCCCGCTCTCGCCGTCGTCCGAGCTCTCCAAGCTCAAGGCAGCGCACGAGAACCTGGCGCTACAGGCAGCCGAGACGTCTGAGGCACTAGCTGCTGCGCAACGCAAGGTTGCCGAGACCGAAGACGACCTCGCGGCGGCAGCTGATCTTCGAAGCGTCATCGACGCCTCGCTAACCCGGGCACTCGCCATTCTTCAAGACACTGTCGACGCAGGCATCCGCGGCGACGAGGTGAGCAGCGAAGCCGGCAAGAGGCTGGAGGATATTGTCCGTGACGACGCGCTGCTTGGCCAAGTTGGTCCCATGGTTTCTGGCCTGCACAACCGAATCAGTGATGTACTCGCCAATCTGAGCTCGGTCCGAAAGGCCAACCACGGTCTCAAGCTCGAGGTCGATACTCAGACTGCCGAGCATCAGGCGACACGGCACAAGCTAGCCGAGACCGAAGCGGCCCTGGTCAATGCCCAGACCGAGCTGGCCGAGGCCGGCGAGCTTGCCGAAGCTCGCCATGCCCGCACAACCGCGCTTGAATCGCAGCTTGCCGAGCTGGCCTCGGTCTCGGCTGCCGACTCGGGCCGCAATGAGTCGCGGCTGCAAGCGCTGTTTGCGGTTGTCACCGCGCTGAGCAACGTGGCGTGCTTGGCGTCGACGCCGCTTGCCTCGGCGCCGGCCCAGCCGGAGTGGAACACCGTCGTTGCATACCTCCAGGCTGCTCCGGCCCACCTTGGCCCGCATCTGGAGGACTTGCGCGCTCGCCACGCGGCGGCCGAGCAGGCAGCTGCAGATGCGCTGGCACAGGCTCGCACGGAGGCCAGTGTCGAGATGGACAAGCAAACCGCGTCTCAGGCCGCCATCCACGCTGCCGAAGTCGCGACGCTCAGGGATCAGATCCACGATCTCCGCGAGGAGCTGGCCCGCCGCGAGGCCGACATTGTGCGTGCCAACGCCTCGCGCGGCGTGGCCGAGCAGGCGGCTGAAGTTGCAGCGAGCGAGGCTGCTGTCGTCTCGTCGTCGCACGGAGCGGCTCTGAGGATGGTTGAGCTGTTGGTGCGGGCGTATCGGGCGATGCGGCTGCGGAACAAGGAGCTCATTGCTCAGAAGCGGTTCCTCAGTGCGCAAGCGAGAAAGCTTGGCGCTGTGACGAGCTCCATTCACACGCTGCGGCTGGCTGTTGTTGGCCAGCTCACCGGTGAGACGCTCGAAGCGCCGAGTGGACGGCCACGGATCTCGTTCCGAGGAGCGGTCATTGCGGTCATTGCCGGGCATCGGTTGGCGCGGCTGGCGGTGGCATTTGCCGCTCGTGGTGCGAGTGTTGATGACAATGGGCGGGCGGTGGTCGAGCTCGCGCCACCAGACCGGTCTCATGATCCCGAACGGGTGCCACTCCGACAGTTTATGGCTGGGTTAGCATCCGGCGAGAGGGAGGGCGCCGAGGGTGCAGGGCGTGATCTAGTCAAGCTCCTCGGCTACTTTGATGCCACGGGGGTCGACGAGGACCTGCACTTTTCGTCAATGCTCCTTGCCGCGCTGGCGTCTGGCCAAGTTGGGCACGCATGGTGGCGGGCCCAGATCGGGGCGCGTTCGCAGGGCACCGTCTCGGACGTGGCGGCGGTCTTTGAGCGCGACGAGGGCCAACCGCTCCGGCTGGACCCGGTGGCTCCGCTCCGTGGGCTGGCCGTAGTCCGTAAGACTGTTCTCGACCTGGTGACTCGACTCCAAATCGCCGAATCGGACGCCGCCGAGCTTGCAGCCGAGTTTACTCGGCTCGAGTCTGTGGCTGCCGAGGCTTCCGATGCCGCGACGAGGGCGACCAATGCTGAAGCTACCGTGGCCGAGGCGCTGGACGTGGCACAGTTGCGGGTGCGGACCCTGGAGAGCCAACTCGAGGGTTGTGTGGCTGCTGGGGAGTTGAGCGACGCCCAGGCGCGCCTGGCTGATGCGGAGCGGCGGGTAGTGGCGTTGGAGGACGATGTGGCGCGGGCGGTGAGCGAGCGCGACGCGCGGGTGGCCGAGGCAGCCGAAGCGGTTGAGCTGGCTTCCAAGGCGCGGGCGCGGGCGCAAGAAGTGACTCGCGAGCACATTCTCGTGCAAGAGCGAGCGGTAGCCTCCAAGGCTGAGGCGCGGCGGCTGGAGGCGGCACTCGACGAGGAGCGCGACCGGGTCCGGTCACTGACTCAGCAGTTGCACGAGGCGCAGGTCGTCAACACACGGGTCCAGTCGGAGCTTGTGGCGGCACAGGCGTCGGCCGAGTCTCAAGCGCAGCTTCACCAGCGAGTGGCCGACGAGCTCGACGCTGCCCGCGAACAAGTCCGCAAACTGGAAAGCGAGGCGGCGTCAACCAGTGCATCGGCGTCGGTCCACTCTGCACAGATGCTGCGGCTCAACACGCAGCTGGAAGAGACGCGGGCGGCGCTCGAGGCAGCGCGCTCGCGGGTCGGCGAGCTCGAACGCGAGGTGGCGCGGCAGGCTGCCAAGAGCAACGCGCTCGAGCAGTCGATGGTCGTCTCGCGTGACCACATGGCGGATCTTCACCGCGAGGCCATGGCGCGGCAGGCGCGGCTGGACGCGGCGTCGCGCGAAGCCGAGTCATTCCGCGACTTTCGTGCCCGGCTGGCGGCGACGGCAGGCCGTGCGAGCGGGCCGGCGCCGGGTGTGGCGACCACTCGCCGCGGCGGGCTGGGCAGCGAACTCTCGCCGGGCGACCTTTCGTTCAACGCTTCGGGGCTGGACGGGGCGGCGCTGCGGAGCTACGTTGCAGATCTTGATGCACAGCTTGAGAACCGCGCGCTCCGGGGCTCGAACATGCCGTCGCCGGTGCCTGTGGTGGCGTCGGAGCGGATGCGGTGGCGCGGGCGGGAAGAGGGCAGTGTGCGGGCGGGCGACGAGTCGATGATGTCGACGTCGTCGGCGACTGCGCAGATGCTGTCCGAGTCGCTGTCGTCTGCGCTGCGCAGCGCGGATCGTAGAGACCGTGGCGCGAAGGCGTAGGAGCGTTCATTCAGCAGACGGAGGGAAAGTGCCTCAGATCGAGAGGTGGTCCGAGCCGTAGATAACGTTAAACCAGTTGTCCATCGAGTCGGTGGCCGACGAGCGGGCGTCGAGGAGACGCTCGAGCGAGGAGAGGCCCGAGTGCGGTTCGAGCTTGGAGCGCAGGTATGCTGCACGCTGCCACGGGGCGCCGGCCACAGCCAGCTGGTACACACGAGTAAACGCGTCCAGATGAGCGGCGACGCCGTCTGCGGCTGCAGCGAGGACCTGGCGTGCGGTGGCGTGCTCGCCACACTTGGCCTTGTACTGGAACCAGAGCATGCCATAGTTGGGTTCCGAGAGCGCGCAAGCGCGGAGGAGGGCTGGTGGCTGGGCCCACGGCGTGGCGAGGACCGACGCGGCGCCCTGCGGCGAGTCGGAAAAGACCGAGCCTTCCGAGAGGAGCGAGGAGAAGCGCGGCTCGGTGAGCATGGAGAGGAGGAGCGATTCGACGAGCGAGTCGCCGTACTGCGGAGTGAAGAGCATGGCGTACTGGAGGCACTTGCGGGCGGCGACTAGGTCGAAGAGCGGCGAGACCGGATTGAGATAGAGCCGCGCGCCTTCGCACCACACCTCGCCAGACTTGGGCACCTGGCGGACAGCGGCGTGAAAGGTGGCCTTCTGGACGTCAAACGACGAGTAGGCGCGGAGCTGGATGAGGAGCGCCCAGAGGCGGCCGGTCGACGGGAAGACGGCGAGGGCGCGGAGGAGGGCATGGAGCGCCTCGTCGAGAAGGCCAGCGCGGAGCTCGAGGAGAACCAGCTCGAGATGCACCTTCCACCCGTCTTTGCCCGGGGTGAGCGCCGAGTGGAGGATGTCACGTGCCTTGGGCAGGTTAAAGTTGAACTCTTCGAGGCGGGCGGCCTCGATGAGGACGACGTGTCGGAGCTTGGCGGGAACGCATGCGAGGGCCTGTGCGACAAAGGCGCGGGCCGCGGGTGTACGCGAGCGCGAGAGCTCCATGCGGGCGGCATGGACCCAGACCTTCCACACCAAGTTGGGCGGGCAGCGGAGGGCGGCGCGAGCAAAGTGCGAGAGCATCTCGTCCTCGACGCCGATGCGCATGAGGACGTGGGCGGCCGAGTGGTGGACCTTCCACGCGAGCTCGCGCGAGATGTTGGCGAGCGCGGCCTCGATGGTGGTGAGCATGTTGGCCCGGGCGCCGGCAAGGTGCGGTGCCGGCGCCGGGACAATGGGCGAGTCGCGCACAAACTCGTACGGCGGGTCAAGTGGCGAGAGTTTCGAGTGAGCGAGGACAGCCGAGTAGAGGAGCTCGTACACACGGAGCGCGCCAAACCAGAGCGGGCCGTACCGCGGATTTTCGCGGAGGCCACGCTGGATGACAGCAATGGCATTGGCGAGCTTGCCGGCGCCCAGCTCGGCCACGAGGGCCTCGTTGTACACCGGGCCGTACCAGGGGACTGCGTCCATGAGGTGGGCAAGGAGCGGGCGGACAGCGTCGAGATTGCCGGCGCGGACCTCAAGTAGGGCGCCCTCGAGAACCATTTTCCAGCAGTCGGCAATGGGCTGCTTGCGGAGCATGGCCAAAAGGGCACGTGCGTCGTCGAGCGAGCCGTGCTTCTCATGGTGGCGGAGGGCTGCGACAAAGAGGGCCTCGTCGAGCGGCGAGGCCGAGAGACCGGCATTGAGCAGGTCGAGTGCAGTGTCGTGCTCGCCCAGCGACTGCTCCATCTTGGCGGCGGCGAGCCAGCCCTGCGGGTCGCCCGGCGCAGCGGTGTGGACCGAGGCGTACAGCTCGCGGGCGTCGTCGACCATGTTGAGCTTCTGCGCGGTGCCGGCGAGGTGCAGGTTGATGCGCCAGTGCATGGAAGGTGTGAGCTCGGCCTTGGCGCGGTTGGCGAGGGCGAGAGCGTCAGCAAACGAGCCCTGCTGGGTCGCCTCGCGGAACGGCTTGAGAAAGTTGGTCTTAAAGTTGGCCTTGGCCCGTGGCGTGAGCGGCGGCGGCGCGTCGACCGGGTTGGAGACCGGGATGCGCGGCGGGCGCGGCGCAAGCTCGACCGGGCGCGGCGAGAGGGCAAGGGCGGCGGCCGAGGTGGCGGCGGCGGCAGCAGCGGCGGCGGCGGCGGTGGCTTCGCCGTTGGCCCCAACGCCGCCCTCGTCGCCGAGCGCAGGCGAGGTCCGTGGCGGGACCTTGGGTGCGAGCCCGTTGGTCTGAAGCAGCTGCTGCCAGGTAGCGGCGCTCTCCGAGGTGGAGCGGGTGACGCCCTTGGCATGCTCGGTGGCCGAGCCGGGCGCCGAGACTGACGAGGTGTGTGGAGCATGGCGGGCCGAGAGCGGGAGCATGGGGATGCCCGGGGGGCCGGTGCTTGCGTGGGCACCTGCCGACGAAAAGGCCGCACGCGCCGACATGGCGCGCGTGCCCTCGCTAGCCGGCGGGTGGTCGGCCCGCAACGTGTTGTTGCTCGACGACGACGGCGGAAGCGCGAGGCCAAAAGAGCTTGCGCTCGAAATGCCCGGCGCAAGGCCTTGGTCCAGCACCATCTGGTTTCCGGCTGACGAGCCGGCGTAGCGCGGTGAGAGCGACATGGCGCGCATACGGAGGTCGGTAGCCTCGTCGGCACCCGATGCGTAAGAGCCTAGCGGGGCGCCAAAGGCACCAAATGGGGCCGGTCCGCGGTCGGTGGCAGCGAGGACCGGCGGGACAACAAGCGGGGCGACCGGCATGGCGAGCCAGGGAATCTGCGGCGCAGCCGAGCCCGAGGGCGTGGGCGGGCCAGAGCCGAGTGGCTCGCGCGGCGAGGCGCCAGGCGTACCCGACGAGCGACGCGGCGACGACGGTCGCGAGCGCGAGGTGGACGTGCCCAAAAACGGATTGATGTTGGGGGCACGCGCCACCGAGGAGCGCGGCGAGGTCGAGGTTGACGCCGACGCCGATCGGCGCGAGTGGTGCTCGACCGAGACCGAGCGAGCCGAGTAGGCATTGAACGTGGCGGCCGGCGACGAGGTCCGCGCCGAGCCCCAAAGCTCAAACGCAGGCTCGGTGTCGGAAGACGAGAAGAGCGGCGAGGGTGGGCGGACAAACGCCGAGAGGTCGCCAGCTCCGGTCGACGCGCCGCGCCGGTGGCCGGCAATGCCGGCCGAGGCTGAGCCCGAGTCGGAAAAGGAGTCGCTGACAGAGTACGACGATGATAAAGGGAAGAGCGGCGGCTCAGTGTAGACGGCCGGATTCTCGGGCGCCGAGTAGCCATCGTACGAGTCCGAATCCGAATCCGAGTCTGATGACCTGAGCTCCGCGCGCGTGCCCTGCCCAAAGGTGTGCGGGGCTGCAGAGTACGCTTGCTCGCCGCCGCGGTCGGCTGCGCTGCCCCCAGCAGCAGCGGCCAGGCCGCCGGCCGACGACGGCAGCGACCGGCGGGCCGGCGCTAGCGTGCCGTGGCTCGAGCCGTGGATCGAGGCGAGCGGAACCGGCGGAACAACCGGAGGTATGTGCTGAGCGTTGTTGATGGACGACGACGAAAAAGAGGAGAGCGACGAGAGCTCCGCCGTGCTCTGAGTCGACGTTGTTTGCCCCTGAGGCGTCGGCGGCGAGGTCGTGGTCGAGCCACTGGCACCATAGCTCGCGGTAACGCCCCAGTCGGTGACGGGCGAATTGGGCTCGCGGGTGTGTCGTTTGGTCTCACTCGCCGCGTGACCGGTCATCTGGTTCCGGGCGGGTGCGCCGTGTTTGGCAGCGACTGCGAGCCACGGCGGGTCTGAGCGTGTGGCCGGGTGGATGGCCGGCGACGAGCGAGGCGGGTCGCGCGAGAGCGGAGGAAATTCGTCCATAACCACAGCCAAGGCGTGAGAAACCGAGTCTTGGTACCGTAAGCCTCTTGCGGTCTGTGTCTATGTATGCCACAATCGTACGGCTCTGCCGTGTGAACCAGAAGCGCGGTTGAGCAGGCGGGGAGGGAGGGGGGGGGCGGGGGAGGAGGCCAATACCACCGCCAGATGCTCCGACTGCTGAGGTTCGCTGACGAACCAAAGACGTGGGCGAGGGGAGGGGCAATGCCCCCA